CCTCGGCCTCCCAGAGTGCTAGGATTACAGGTGTGAGCCACCGCGCCCAGCCTCAATAAAACTTTATTTGTAAAAACTGGTAGCTGGCCCACAGGCTATAGAGTACTGATCCCGCAAATTAGACATTAAGAGGTTCAGGTGTACAAGATGAATGAGAGAAAGAAGTCAGGAATAAATATTTGAAAGTCACTACTCAGAAACAAACAAACAATGACAACAAAAAAAACACCTAAATATAAATACTCACTTGAGTTCCCTTTGTCAGGAAAGAGAGATAAGGAGGGGCCAAAAAAATGTTTTCATGTCCTGTCCATGACCCTCTCAGAAATGGACCCAAATAAACCTCAGGGAATGCACCAAGTGCACAGACTTCCAGCTGGAGTGTCTCTCACAGGGGCCTCAGTGGCTCCTGCCAGGCCAGGGAGGGTGGGGCGGTGCAGGGTGTGTGTGAGGTGTGTGTGTAAGGTGTGTGAGCGTCCTCTAGAATATCCAGCTGGGACCAGAGCTCTCCTTTCTCCTTCTGTTTTCCTCTGTGGAAAGGAGGCAGTTGCCCTGAGCATAACTCCCACCCCGACTCCTCCCTCACTGGCACACAAAGAAGTGAATTCGGAATGCATGTGCACACACACAAATTCTCCAGGTCCATTACGAAGGAAAGTTCCACACATACTCACCAGACACGAAGGCCACTTTTTCCTTTAGGATGGGAAGGACATCAGAAGCTTTCAAACCATCATTCCGAAAAGACCCTGTGGGACAACATAACAGAAGGAATCAGGGTGAGAGAGGCCAGCGGGCGGACTCCCTGGGTCCCACCCTCAGCCTCACAACCCTGTCATTGTTCAGAAGGTTCTACCTTGTTCAGGCCCTACAGCCCAGCCAGGCGGACCAGGAGACGGTCCACAACAGAAGGACACCTCCACCTAATGCCAGGCCACAGGGGTGACCAGGGCTGCAACCTCCCGGGTCCTTCTCAAGGAGAGGATGGTCTGAGTCACCTCCCACCAAGTGTACAAAGAAAGCTCCATGTCCTGGGGGCCACAATGATGTCCCTGTTGCTGTTGAGCAACTTGAAGATGAGGGGCTTTTAAAAAATCATTTTTGTACCCTAGTGCCTAGCTCAGTATCTGGTACACAGTCAGCACTCAGTAAATACCTGTTCAGGTAGTTAATTGGTATCAAGATGGACTGCAATGCCCTAAATAATTCTTCTTGGCTTTCCTCTAAGTGGCACAGTGACTATTAGTTTTCATTTCACAAAGGGGAAAAGTAAACCACAGAACTCCAACAGATGGAAGCAAAGTTGATGACAATATCTTCACCGTTCTTCCTCCTCCCCAAATATCATCATCCTCAGTCCAAGATGGACAGGAGGTCAGGAGACACAGATCTCCTGGGAAGGACACGCACTGGCTACTTTAACTCGTTTTCTTTCTAAATCCTGCTTCTCAGTTGGAAAGTCCTTTCTAAGGTCTTGCTGAGTTCCTGTTAGGGGGCTGGAGGCAGAGGCTTGGGGCTCACAAAGAATGGAAAATAAAGATGTGCCTGGAGAAACAGTAGCCTCAGGAGGCAAAGGACAACCCAGCCCAGCGTGAGATGTGTGGGAAGGGAGGACCCAGGTCACACACACACACAGAACCCCAGGCTAGCACACTCTACCTGTCATTTAACCCAGGTACCCCACGAGGGCTCTTGGGGAGAACCACCCACACTCGTAGCCCTTGGAGCTGTAACTGAGGTCTCTGTTATGTATCACCATGAGGGACGTGACACAGATGGACCCTGGCGAGCAGGTCTAAGTCAGCTCAGTAAGACAGAACCAGGGACCATGGATATCCCTGCCGGTGCCTTTCTCTACTTGGAACCCAAATCTGAGAATCTACAGAGGATAGCAACATGCTGAGCAGGACCATCCCACTCAATCCCCCAATCTCTAAACATCAACTGTTTCAAGAGACCCATCTGGGAATTTTGGCAACAACCCAGGATTAAGATCACTGGCCTAGGGAAGGGAAACGGGCCTGTTGCACACTCAACCAAGGAGGACGAGGAATGTGTCCCCAGAATGTCAGTTTCTGTGGTCAGAGGTCAGGCCCTAACATAAAACAAATTTCCAAAGTAATGACCATTTCATCTACTTCTTCTTTTTCTGTTGTTACCAAATGAAGACAGTGAGCCTTTTTATTCATAAATTGCTTCTGTTTACAAATTGACAGAGAACCAGCTACAAGGCTCACTTTGAGAAGACCTTGAACAATAGAAGAAAAAAGCAACACTATAAAAAGAAAGCTCTAACTTCAAAGACTATAGGCATTGTTTTGTTCTTTCTATCCTTGGTTTCTACAGATATTTATGTTCTAATCTTATTTTCCACAGAGAAAAACAACTAAATCTCACCAATAAAGACTAATTAGGATCAATATAAATTATATAGAATTTACAAGTAGATATATAGAATGTTTTCATCCTTGTGCAATAAGGTGGCATTTCAGCTTCCTAGGCAGGAGGAGTCCTATTAGGCTTTATTCACTAGACAAGTATCATCTTTAACTAGCACATGAATTGTTTGTGTAAAATGATGCTTCCACACCAAAATAAATTATTTTCATATGTGAAATATACCTTTCTATACATCAGTTTTAAAACACTTTCCTCTACATCACTATGCATTCTATTAATTTCTACAGAAAAAAAGTAATATGAAAAGTTAAATTTCGGTCCTGTCTTCTTCCAGGTTATTTATAAATTCAAAAACAGCAAGCCCAAACTAATGAGATTTTACTGTATAAAGAGAATCCACATAACCCTCTTCTCTCCTAAACTCCTGTCCTATTTTTTCCACTGTCTTTCCTCTCCTCCTCTGCTGTGTTAAAGTATATAAGAGGGCCCTAATTCCAAACAGTCCCCAGACCTTAATGGTTTCAAATCTGCTATAATGGAAGCAAAAGATTCCTTGTCCTATGCCTTCCCCACTCCCAGAGAAGGAGAAGCAGATCCAAGTCTCATCCTTCACACCCACTCATTGTCCCCCACCTGTTCCTTCTCCCCTCCCAGGTCCAGGACCTGAGAGAAGGCATGCGGCTTGTCCATGCAGCCTGCCATCATGGGCTCCAGTAAATATCAGTCCCCTGAGTTGGGCTGTTCTAAGATTCCTAGGGCTTCCATTTCCCAGGCAGAGTCCTTCTCCATCCAATTCAGACCACTGTTGGGCTATCTGCCTCGTTGTGTGCCCACCACAAGAAAACCTAAAGCATCCAGATTTACAAAATCCTTAACTAGGGGATAATCATTTCTAATAACAACAACAAGATTTTTCACATTATAAAAGGATTTGCTCCAGGGTCTCTGTAAACAAAAGTTCTTTAGTGACTTGAATTAATTTTCCATTTGACAAAAAATTGAATTACAAATAACTTTTCAACAATATATGTATTCTGTAAAGCCAAGTAGAGCTAAACTAATTAGCCCAGCAGCTCATAAATTGGTGTCCTTGTGTATAAAACCTATTTTCACTGGCTGAAGATCCTATGTATCAATTCCCCCAGGGACCTTGTGAAACCAGCTGTTGGAATACATAACAAAGGGTAAGTTTATTGAATGCTAACTCAAACAGGACCAATGAAATAGCAACATCTTTTCACTGTCAGGTACATACCTTGGTAGACTCATAGTAAATGTTCAATAAATATTTGATGAAAGAATAAATGAATGAATGAAATGTTAACTCTTCATAAAATGACTTACACAAGGTCAGTGGCCTCATCTGTCACACCAAGCACTGGTGATCTGAGCAGATAATCTCCAGGGTATCACTTAGCTCTAATACCCTGAGACTTTCTAAACCTTTTCTTCATATTTATTGCCCTTTAAGATCCTCAGTTTATCAGATCAATATGCTTTGAAAGGAAGTACTGGGAACAAATTCTCTAACAAGATTTACTGTACCTTGGGAAGATAAAAGGACCCTTTCCTGGCTTCCCAGCCCATTCTTCCCCAGAATCGTTTAGGGATTGGAATGCTGAGGGCACGTCACCTCATTTTGCAGGTAGCCCAAATTGCCAAAAATGAGAGAATAGGGATGGAAGAACTTCTGTGAGGCATACACACCTTGAAGGAGGCAGGCTTATACTGCAATTGCTATTTCTAATACAAAGTATATTTGATAGCACTATTAGACTATAAACTCTAGGCCAATCATAGACCAGAGTTTCCTCCTTTAAAATGAAAGCCTGTTGAAACAGTAGGCTCCTTACTACCTTTAATGAAGGCCCTAGAAGAAATAAAAACTCCTAAGCTCTTGGAGTTACTGCAGGAAACAAACAAAAAGCCAAAATCAGAAGGCACCCTTATGGACCTAACCCAATGTGTGTGCTGTGCTTCTTCTTAAGGACAAAGGCATGCTTCGCTGGCATTCAGTGCTAATCCCACCCCATTCATGTCCTGCTGCTGTCAGAATTACAAGCCTGCTGTTCCGTTAATTAGCAAAGTTGAAATGCTCTGCATCTAGTAGGGAAGTACAAATTACCACCACCATCTCTCCAGGATCTTCCAGCATGGGTCTTCTCCAAGCCCCACTTTTGCTCTTCCTTGCTCCAAATGTTTTATGCTTACATTGCTGCTGCCTGTTCCTCCTCACATGTTCCTAGTCACCACTTCCCATGTTGGAAAATACCAATCATCCTCACTCTGGCTCCCAGCCTCTGTGTGGCCCCACGTGGCAATGGCAGGCCTGGCCCTTGTGCCAAGGGCCCTGTCCATAGTTCTGTGGGTCTGGAACAGCAGTGAATCCCTCAGGGCAGCAGGAGATTCACCACTATTCCACGTGAATAGCAGTTGCTTGTGCTCCATGCTGACTTCCTTCAGAAAGCGATCCTGATTTTAATAAGCAAAGAAACAAACAACTGAGTGAGCATTTATTGAGCATTTAGAGCTACAAGTTGCCGGAGTACCCATGGATTGCTCTTTGTTTCCTTTTGGTACTCAGTCACAGCCCTTAATTTGCACTTATTTAGAAGTTACTATGTAAGTATTCTAATGTTGCTTCAAGTGGGCCCGAGCCCAGTTCCACCAATAACAGAGCACGTTGACCAATGCTCAGGTTTCTGCCTCCTCTTTCTATGCCATCCCTTTGGTGTCCAGCATAACGGCCTTTCTCAAAATGGCACGGAGACACCGAACAATGTGCTGTACGAAAGAGACCTGGCTTGCTACTGAGAGTTCCAAGAGCTCATTTGGCCAGACCTTAGTTTGGTTGTAATTTTGACATTTTCCTATTCCCAAGGTCACTCTTTCATCAATTCTTTATGGAGCACTTACTGTTTGCTGGGCCTTATGTCAGGCATGGGCGATCCTAAGACAAATAAGAAATGGATCCTGTCCTCTACGAGGCCTCCAAGCTGAGGAGGACAAGTATGCAAGTAGGACAACAAGGGAGCTGTTGTCAGAGACAGGATGTCCCCTGTATGCAATGCAAGGGGGCACAAAGGAAAGGCTTACTACAGGTGAGTCCTCAAGCCTTGCTACTCAAAGTAATAAGCATCACCTATCACCTAGAACCTTGCTAGAAAGACAGAATCTCAGGTCCCATCCCAACCTACAGAATCAGAACCTGCATTTTAACAAGAAACGTCAGTGCATCATATGTACATTACATTTTGGGAAGCTCTATACTAAAGTATCTCTTTTCATTCTAGAGTTGCCTCAGAGGTAGAGATAGAGAAAAGCACCCTTTAGCCTGGCCTAAATAGGA